TCATGACATAAAAGTTATCATAGTATATGTAAAACAAAGTAGAGATACATCCATCCATCCATTTTCTGTTCCACTTATCCTCACAAGGGTGCAGGGCGTGCTGGAACTTAAGCAACCCGCCGATGGAAGTCTCCCCAACTGTAAAAGCCTCATTCAACTGACAGACATCATGGTTTCAGTCAATCAAAGAGAATGAAGGGTGGGACCCTCCTCTGATTGGCCACAGTCCAGATTTTCCTGTACCCCTCCACCCTCCCATCATTATCAAAATCATTTACCATCCAATATAGTCAAAAATACAGACTTAATTTTTTTTTTCATAAGATTAAACTTGTAAAACTGCAGTATTGAATGTGATGTGGTCAAAAATGTTGGTGCCCCTCACTTTAGTGCTGGTGCAATCATTCCATGTAAACGTGAAATGGGAAAAATAAGTAAATATGGTGCTGAGTGTTGAATATTAGTAACAGTTATGTGTGTTACAATAGAATGCTTTTAATTGTTCCCTATGGAGAGACTTCTCCTGGACAAGTCTTTAGAATCATCTGAAAAAAAAAAAAAAAAAAGACTACACTAACACATCTGCATTTTGAAGACAGCATGGAAGGCTTATGTCGAAAATCCTTTCACATATTTTGGTCTTGCTCAGTATTGTTACCTTTTTGGCAGGAGGTCCATCAGATTTTGTGAGAACTATTGCTCATCGTGTTTTCATTATCCATGATATGTTCTTTTATATTCATTGGATTTGGCACCAGGGATTTTTTTCCTCCGATTATCAATATCTTTTTCGGATTCTTAGTATTTGCCTCGAGGAAGACCATTACAAAGAGATGGTCAAAATGAAAAGGCCTATGGATGATGAATGGATTGACATTTGTTTCATTTTGGTATTTTTCTTTTGATGATTTATAATGTAAAGGTGCACCCAAGGGTTCTTGTTCTAGGAAGTTTTTGTCATGATTCGGTTTGGGACCAACAGGTGGCACTGTAGGGCTGCAGCTGCACACCTGTTGGTCATTAGGTAATTAGTGCTTTAAAAGGACTCCCAGCCCGACCACTCATTGTCGGGTCATTGTTGCTGTTTGTTGCTCTTTGCTACTGTCATATTTGTTTGTTGCCGTTAGTGATGGGAAAATGAAGCAATGAGGCTTCCCATCCAACTGGGTCGTTCCTGGGCCGAAGCATCATGAGGCTTTATTTGTACTACTGCGCCATCATGTGGAAAATAAATGTCATGACAGACAGTGATTAAAATGATACCATGGATTTGATGTCGAGGTAAGATCGGGCCAAAAAAATCCAGCCCGACCCGGCCCGAGCCCGACCAATTAACTTGATTTGCAGGCCCGAGCCCGAAGCAAACCCGAAATTTCATATTTTATTTGTGAGGAGGAGGGGTAATTTATGATAAATTAAAACCTGTCTTTTATAACGAAATCTAAGTTAAATAATACTGTATAAACATTTACATCTTTTATATTTCTGTTTATGCAGAGGGTACATTAACCGACAATTTTCCATCATTGACGGATTTTTTTTAAGAGTTGACGGGGAAAATTTAAGGCCGTCCGTCATTTTGACGGGTTGAAAATTGGACGATTAACCACAGCAGCAGTATGTCCTTAAGAATGTAGCGCGGCCCTTTAAGAGAGAGAAGCAGACAGACAAAGAACAATGACAGGTGGATAATAGACAAAGACAGGAAGGAGTTCTTTGAATTGTCATTGCAAGAGTTTAGTACAGTACGTGTTGTGATGAGGCGACTTGTGGTTTTTTGCGAACCACGGTCTCTCGTGGCCAAAACTATTCACGGCATCGAAACGCCTCAGCGCACTAAACATTTATTTATTTTTAAAAAAAGTCAGCGAGAGAGAAGACCCGACCCGAACCCGAAGCAATGATTGACATTTTAGGCCCGACCCGAATTTCGAATCGGGCTCGGGCTTAAGATCTTACCTCTCGTACATATTGCCTTTTGTCTTCTTTGTCAAATGTGACATGTATACAAACGTTTTACTAACTCTTCGTTCCTGGCTCCCTGCCACCGCGCCAACTTTTTTTCTACAAAAAGAGCGAGTGTGCGACTGCATTAACATTATTCCGTGTGGGAAAATGTTCCCTGCAAAGTGCCAGTGGAGAGATTTTGTGTCAACCTTTTTGTAGTTAAATTATTCAAGTTATTCGATGAATTTAAGAAGCCTTACACTCCAGTATGTACCAGTTATCAAAACACTGCAGCTCTACTTATATTTTGCCGTGGACTTAATTGTGCTTCTGGGTAATCTTGACAGCAAAACTCACTTGAAAATGGCGGCTCTTTGCCCAGCCTGGCTGCCAAGTCAGGGATGCAGAACTCAATGCAGTATAATGTAAATTAATTAAGTAAATTGGATAAAATACAGAATGGCTCGCTTGCAGACAAACAGGGGGGGGGGGCAGCTAAAAAATGGCTGACGTGGTTGTTTTAATTGTACATTTCACCCAGACCCAGCAATTTGTGTACACGCAATTAAAAAGTCCGTTTTCCATAATTCATGTCCCCTTTAAGACAGGGTTAATCACCCATCAGCTCCACAAAATTGACAGAACTCCTCATCAATGAATCAATTTTACACAGTTTGGAATGCCATCGTTGAAACTTATTTCAAATGATTAAAAACAATACCAAAATATCTCCTTCTTCATCGTACAGTTCCTGACGATTTCTAGAAAAATTGAAGCTCTCTCGCTCATGGAAAAAAAAAAAAAACATCAAGTGCAGATGCCCTGACTGCTCAATAACATTTAATTTTCTAATTTTGGCAGACGTTTTTCCCCCCTATTTAAAACTACTGAAGTTATATTTTGCAGTTAAAAAAAACACTTTTGAATTTTGATGTTGTCATGGAAACGTTGCGGATTTAGAAAACACAGACACACACTGTATTTAAAAGAGCTAACCCCCGTGTGAGACAAATTGACCTTGACCTCCTCAAGTCCCGTACCTTTATTTTTGGAGCATTCTTATTTGGAGAGCTTGATAACATCTCAGTCAGCAGCATGAGGGGAGGAGGAAGAGGCGGCTCAGAAGAGAAGATAGGGGAGGGGCTTAGCTGAAGAAGGGGGACAGGGGGAGCTCTGCTTACTACTCACTGGATCTGCAGCATGCAGGTTGGGAAGCGTGCACTCATATGCAGAGCGTCTCAAAGATTTCTTCCCAAAACGGGGGAACAAAACCGCCGTGAGTAATTTGTCCACATTATTGTATTTTTGTAATCGTAGTAGTAAGGGCCAAAACGATCAGCCCGCATAGTGCCTGTAGGTTTCTGTGCCTGTAGGTTTTCTTGTTCTTCTTATGTGTTCACATGATGGTTTGATGAAACGAGGTCTGTTGCTATGACAGATACAAGACACAAGTGATTTCTTTTGTAAATATGGTATTGACATTCACAACAATGTGTGCTTGTGCTCCCGATCAGCTGCCACTCCTCCCATGGGCCATTAAACTCATTTGTCGCAATAGAAATTACCCCCACATCAAACTTAACATTTTCGGGTGCACTGGCATGAGATGATGCGATTTGTGTGGAAAATGTTATACCTTAGCGGCTAAGGTATAACATTTTCCAACAGATGTGTGCACACGAACACACACTCTTAACTTTTATCTTCCATTTCCCCCAACAGACGTGTGCACACGAACACACACTCTTAACTTTTATCTTTCTGGCGTTTTCAAATGTGCGATGATAATAATTTCTTCCTTCTCATGACTCACTTGTTCTGCATCAATAGTTCCCTGTGGCACCTCTTTGCTTTTCCCCGCACAATTTTTATTTCGGAGGATTTTCATGTTTTGCCACTTAATTGCTTGGATTGTCGTCTCGTCCGAGGATGTTTTTTCCAGGCATGTATTTATGTTTTTGTTATTCATTGGTTTGCTTGTTCGCAACTTCTTTGAAATTATTTTGTTTTGCGTTTTTTGGAGTGCCACCACACATGGCTAGAGCACATGTAAAAATGCATTCAAGGGAACATATTCTGGAAAATGTACTTTTTACTTTTTTTGCTTACAAATAGCTGGGTCTCTGGAGTGCCAACTGACCTAAAGTGTCAAATTAAACAACCAAGTATATATGTTGTTTCTTGGACAGTTTCTAAAAATATGTCGAGACTCTGAGAGAGCCGCTGAGAATGTTATTAATTGTGCCGTTTCCATAAGCCAGCGGTGGCTTTACGCAAGCATTATTCATTTGTAGTCTGGACGCAGATGGGTAAACATCTCGGAGTAGCCCTTGGCTTAGCTTGACCTGAGTTGTCATGGTAACAGAGGCCATGCTCCGCAAATGCCCCCCAAACCCCCCAAAAAAGCAGAGCAGTTTCAAGCAGAGTTTGACAAGTGTCTTTATGTATTTGGTGTAAATATCTATCTTCAGTGTTTTTGATGGAACAATGGCTGACACCTTTTATGAATACAATGTGGACCCGTTTCAATTCACATTTTTAATAAAAAGTCTCTTTCAAAATCTCGTAAAATACTAGTATACTCTGTAAAAGTTGGTTTAAATAAAGTGTCAAAGTTTAAATCATTTGAACTAAATGTGAGAAGATCTCAGGAGCCGCATGACGAAACATAGTTGCACGTTCTGAGTCAAACTGTGTCATCGGCAGCAACTCTTTTCAGACTGTAATTTGCAATTACCATTCAGATGCGTTTTCTTTGTCACATGACTCAGATCTCAGCAGGTTATTTTGCCATTTAATTGTCCTCATGTTTGAGCCGACAGTACGTTTTGGGCCTTCAGGGTCTGAAGGCAATTTTCCCCCCCATGCGATTATTCCCATGATAGATGTTAGCTGTTCCTTGACTGCATGCGAATGCAGTTTTGAAATAATTGCGTTGATCAGGCATGCCAGTTTGATTGTCAAGACAGCATTTTACCGTCACAATGGGGAATTAAAAAACTCTTATATTCTACTAACCTCTGCGCTTTCCCTCCTGGCTTCCGTGGCTCCAGAGAGAGGTAAACACATTCCTCTCCTCTTCTTTTGCATCTCAACGTCATCTCCGTCATTTCTTATTGTTTCATTTCCTCTGTGTCTCCGTCTTTCTATCCCCTTCCAAGTGAGCGTGCATGAAATGAACACATTTTAGACATCTAGGAAATGAGAGTGACCCCCCTCTGTCCTTTTCTGTCTGCAAACATGTTTTTATAGTATATGCACACAGACAGAGGGAGAAATTAGATCATCCCAGAGAAACCAGAGTCTTTATGCTTTTTAACGGGCCAACGCGACTCCCCTTTTGCGTTGAGAATTTATTTATTTGTTTGTTTTGTGGAAAAATGCACAAAGCTCCCAGGAGGGTTATTGCAATGTACCGTTCCTGCGTATATGTATCGGCATGTTTGTACGTTTCATGCTTTGCTTGTGTGTTTCTTCTCAGTGGCGATCCAATTCCTTGTGCCTTCCTTCCTGTTATGAATTCCCTCTTTTCAGTACCGCCACCTGCTGTCACTCTATTCATCTCACTCTCACGTTGCGCTGCGCTATCGATCTCTCGGGTCTGTCTACTTGGCCATAGTGTGTATGAGTGTGGGTGTGTTTGTGTGTGTGTGTGTCATTTTCATAACGGTAAAGGTCAGCTCGTCTCTCATCTGTCTCGAAGTGACATCAGTCCGACCACAAGTCCCACATAGTTGTAACAAGTGAATTCCTTCATACTTTGGGGGGGGGAAAAGTCTTTCTTTTGTACAATTCTATGGTACCACATTTGCGGGAACATTTTAAGGAATGCTCTTTTATTCCTGTTCCCTTTGCACAAAGTAAAGTCCAGAAGCAGCGTGCTTAGATGGATTTTGTAGAGAACAACAACTCGATCAAACACGTTTGGGATTAAGTACAAGAGTCATTCTCAAAGTGCGGTACCAATCGTGATCGGCGGGCTCACTCTCGTCGCGCACCCGAATCTCTGAATGAAATGTTCAAACTGTGCAGATCATGTTACATGTTACCGTATCTTTTCATAGTGCATTTTTTAAGGATAGTTGGGTTGTGTTTAACTTTTATATTCAATTCAACATTTGCATTTGATCTTTATAACTGTTTTTCTTCGGTAACATTTTGAATTTGACTCTTAGTGTATGTGCATTACTTTGATGAAGTCATTGTTTCGTTTTTTTATTTTGTAGGGCAGAGTGTTAATATTCCAACTGCAGAGTGGATTTAATGCGTAATATACTGAATACAATGAATAAGTGTTATCAATAAAACCTAATTTTTGATCAATGCTTTGGCCTACTATGCAATTGTATTTTAGTGGTCATGATGTTGATACTTGAGGGCTAAGAAAAAGTAGTAGAGCTGCTAAACTAGAACATGCCCTCTGTCCGATCGATTGACATCCACGATCCCGACAAATTTAAAATGTCATAAGTCTTCCCAGACGAATCGAAGCTGTTCAAACTGTGTGGAAGGGATTCCATAATATCTTTCATTATTACCTCCTGTACGTGTGATGGTCAGTTATGTTTCTTGTTTGAATGCGTCCACAAATAGATATTTTGGATTCTTCTGTTCCTCACAGGGATTTTGCATACGTGGCACGGGATAAAAATACAAGGATCCTAAAATGCCATGTGTTCCGCTGTGACACGCCGGCCAAAGCCATTGCCACCAGCCTCCATGAGATCTGCTCCCGGGTATGACACGGCATATATGTCCAAACAATGCATTTCAACACAGAGTTCAAGACCATGTGTATTTTTATTTGATTGGTCAACCTTTCACAATACTTGCATATCCTGTTCAAAATGTATAGTTATTTAGCATGTTTTATATTATGCTAGTCATTAGAGCCCTTACAAAAGGTGCAAAACATTACATTTCCTTAAAATGACCCAACAGGATCAGGAATATAAAATTGATTTTTTTCATGTAACAAATCAATGAATCCGTTTCCTACAGTGTTTTTCCTCATTCGGGTCACGTGTGAGCTAAAGCCTAATCCCGCTGACTTTCGTAACCATACACAGTCTCACTTTTATTTATGGACTTCAGTTAACCTAAGATGCAAGTCTTTGGAATGTGCGAGGAAGCCACAAACTAATGAATGTTAAAAAAAAAAAAAAATGTTTTGACTTTATTATGTCTAACACGGTCTCTATTTATTTATTTATTTACCAGCCAAGATCGCCATTTAACCAACAAAACGTAGTTGTAGTCATTGTGGTTGACTGTGCACTATATAAATTTACTGTGTATAAAAATAGTGCCAGCCAAGATGGCCATTTAACCACCAAAACTTAGTTGTAGTCATTGTGGTTGTGCACTATATAAATTTACTGTGTATAAAAATAGTATCCACAAAAGCTCCAATCCACTCCTGTGCTTATGGTATAATCAAATTCAAAAGACATTTGCACGTAACATGTGTTTTCCATATTAACGTCAGAGGTTTTGATTCACCTTGATACCGGAGAAGATCAGCTAAACGTCGAAATGGAAAATTCAAAATACAATATAGATTAAAAAAAAAACAGTACTGCATCTGCATTCTTATTGAACACTCTACTGCTTTAACATGTTTCTGACCCACCTTCCTCACCCTTTCTTCCCTCCCGCCATCACCCCATCTCTCACCCACATTCAGATTATGACTGAGAGAAAGAATGCCAAAGCGATGGCAGGAGGCTCTCTCCAGGACAGGATTCAGGCAGGACGAGACCTGCCCTTACAGGGTTGGTACTTAGTCCATATCATCGTCACTCAGTACCTAAATCATTTACTGTAATTACCATTCGAACCATTTAAACACCGTTGATGTATTATTTTGGCAGAATTCCCCACACCAAAGACTGAGTTGGTTCAAAAGTTTCAGGTGCTCTACCTCGGAATGATGCCCGTTGCCAGACCAATAGGTAGGTGGTTCGCCCACCCGCAATAGGTGGAGTTGAAATGAGTTGAATAGTTGTCGTTTATTTTAAATAAATTCAATTGTGTTCATTTTGGGGTTCAATTGATGAGCTGCGACATAGCAATACCGGTAATGTACTTAAAATGTGACCGTTATCCGGCTCATTGCAGGCATGGACATATTGAATGGCGCAATAGGTAGTCTCGTCAGTGCTTCCAGCAAAGAGGACTGGACTCCAGTGGCCCTCAATGTGGCCGATGCCACAGTCACCATCAGCAAAGAGGAGGTCAGTCACTCAACCTGACATTGAAATGTCATAAAAATTGCAGTGTTGCACAGTGAAGAAACAAACTTATTCATTAAAAAAAGAAAGATTATGGATTTAAGAACACAAAGCTTGTCCGCTCCAGTGGTCCGATTTATTAAGACAACCGCACTCAGTTTTATGTGAATCCTTACGTCTCTCGTTCCCCACGCAGGATGAAGAGGAAGTGCTGGTGGAGTGCCGCGTACGATTCCTGTCGTTCATGGGCGTGGGACACGATGTGCGTACGTTTGCCTTCATCATGGACGCTGGCGGCCATCGCTACGACTGTCACGTGTTCTGGTGCGAGCCCAACGCCGGGAGTGTGTCCGAGGCTGTTCAGGCTGCTTGTATGGTGAGTCGTTCGAGGAAACCTTGAAATGATCATCAAACTTTGCCACCATGCTACACCCACCTTAGATGGCATAGGCAAGAATAAACAAATTTTCGCCGCCCATCTGTCTCATGCACCAGCTTCTGACTGGTGCGCATTCCATCGTAGGATTGTACAAAACATTTAACCTACAACTGCAAGTATAATAAATTAGTAGGATCATTTCAGAAATGAATATGCCCTCGATTAAAAACTAAAATGGCCCCTGAGAGAAAAACGTTTCAGAATACTGTGAAACAGAGTCTTGTTGCTTCACGTAGTTTTGAGTGGGAAATTTGTGAGCAACAAACTGCCCCGAGATTTTGTGAGTTCTTCTTGCATCCGGGTACCACCCCAACCAGTAGTACAGTAGCTGTTACTTAATTCTGCAAACACACACAAAGGAAAGCTGTTTTCATCACTGGCTTCTATGATGGCCTATTACATTTTTTTCCCCATCTTGGTGCGCGTACGGATGCGGAATGTGGGGGTTGAAGACAAATTGCACATTTCCTGTCTTCCGAGGTAGTATCCGGCAAATTTAACTGTTTTCTGCCCCTTGGTGATGAAAGAAATCGTTGCTACCGCTGACTTCAGACGCGGCAATGTCCCACTTTCTTTGAGTTGTGTCTGAAAGGGACAAGCGTCATGCTTCTCTTGCAGCAATTTGCCATAAAGGCAGTTTGAAACTGCCTTATGCTGAAATTAGGAAGATAAAAAGCTATCTGCCTTGTCGGGCTCTACTACATTCAATTTATTAAAAGTAAATGGAAGAACTGCATTCAGGCTATTATGTGTGCACTCAAGTCAGGAGTGATGAATTAATTCAGATTCAAGGCATGGATACAAGCAGCCGACCTTGACATATAAGTGACAGACGTCGGCTTTGTTGATTGGTAATTATAAGACCGAAAAGACCTTTAGAATTTTCTTCTCTCCAAGTTTCATGTATGATGTTACAAAGTAGAAATGGTCTTAAATGGCTGAGGTGAATTTTTTTACATTCAGAGCGGAACCAAGGGATCTATCGTAATCCCAGATGAATTTATAGTTGAGGTCTATTCCAAGACATTTGACATATTAGTACGGGGGGGTGGGGAGGTACCATGAATACTGGCAAATCATTCATGTCAATAACGAAGAAAGTAGATTCTAAACAGTCTTGGGCAGGGACTGAATGAAGGAAGGCAGAGAAGTAGTTTCAAGAAAGGAATGAAGGACACAAAATAAATGGCTCTGAGGGAAGGTGGAAAGGAATATTTGAGGGAGGGAGGGAAGGAAGGTGGTCAGAAAGGAAGGCAGAAAAAAAAGCAGGTTTAAGCACCGGTAGGAGGGATGTAAGTGCTGCATGGAAAAAAAGAGGCGTGAAGTAAGAGGGAAAAATAGGAAGGAAGGCAGAAAAGTAGATTTAAGTGAAGCGAGGAAGGCTATAAGGATGTATGAATAAAAAGCAGGCTTTTGAGGAAGGAAGGCAGGCCGAAGGAAGCAGAAAAAAGGGAAGAATTAGGAAACAAGGTAGTACAAGGCTGGACTTTGCTGTCATGTACCTGGCTGCATGGAAAAAAAGAGGTGTAAAGTAAGAAGGAAAAATAGGAAGGAAGGCAGAAAAGTAGGTTTAAGTGAAGCGAGGAAGGCTATAAGGATGTATGAATAAAAAGCAGGCTTTTGAGGAAGGAAGGCAGGCCGAAGGAAGCAGAAAAAAGGGAAGAATTAGGAAACAAGGTAGTACAAGGCTGCACTTTGCTGTCATGTACCTTTGGTTGACCACACCCCTTCCTCTTTCTCTCAGCTGCGGTACCAGAAGTGCTTGGTGGCGCGGCCACTTTCCCAGAAGGCCTGCGGCTCCCCACCGCCGGGCGACTCCGTGTCACGCCGGGTCTCCACCAGCGTCAAGCGGGGCGTCCTCTCCCTCATCGACACCCTCAAACAGAAGCGGCCCGTCACAGAATCACCGCAGTGACCGGAGAAAGCATCCAAGCACTACCGACTTCCCCGGCCGTACCCTGCTCCCAGTCGCCATGGTAACTACCCGCATCGCTGCAGAAAGTACCATAGACTCCTGTAACCATGGTAACAGCCAAGACCCTCCAGATTTTGTTCATGAGCATCATTGTGAGCGTGTTTTCAACGTGAGACGGCTAATTGTGAACAGTGTACATAGAAGCGTCTCGTATTCCCCATAGGGCGGGGCAACAAAGACAGCGCGCCGTCGATTAGTCGTCGTCATTGCACGTGCAGCATGACCTTGCACACTCGGCCAAGCCTGTTTATTACGCCCACCTTGTCAGTGTTTAAATGCGCCTCTACCGTAGACATCAATTTGACATAGACGCCATCTTGAACGCTGACTCGTGCGTCGCCGCCCAATTGGATCCTGCCACTCGGCAAGATCGGTGAAAATGCAGTCTTACGGTCAAAGCCCGGAGTCATCGCTTTCAAAATGAGCAATTGTTGTGTTGGGAATCTCTCACTTATTCCCTACTCACTTAACACTTTTTAGGGATTTTCTGTTGTGAACGGTTTGGTTCATTCCTGAGGTACATGGAAATATACTTTTCAAACACTGCTCGACTTCTTTGTTGTGAAAAGTATGACAACTATTTACCGTTTTAGTGCTCGGGCCAAAGCAATTGCTTTGGCACCATCTGGTGGCATTGTGACGCCAAGGCACTATATCATTGTGAGTTGAGGAGTTCATCTATTTGGTTGAAGTTGCCGCGCAGCCCTCTTGCAGCGTCTACCGGTGATTCCAAACTATTCCAAACTTTATCGGCAAGCGTGATTGCTGTGCGAATGATTCCGAATATAGCCAATGAATTTTGATCGTATTTGGCCATTTATAACACCATTTTGCTATTTGAGATTTTTCTGACTTTGTGGCTAATGCTATGAAGCCCTCTATGTGCATAATACTGTTAATTCCTCCAGTGAAACGAGTTTTCACACAGAGAGGTATTTCCTGTTTAAGTAAGTTGCCCCAAAATACTGCTGTCATTGCCTGGCTATCTTATTTCATTCTATGCAAGCTTCCCAAACATACCGTAAAGGGCTGATAAAGCAGTTAGAAGGGAACGCTTTTATGTTTGTCCTATTCGTAGCTAAATTGATATCAGTTACTTGATTACTCAAAATGAATTCGATGTAAATGTCGGTGCGTTCTATTCAGAAAATCCACATCACACATATCAGAATGTTGGTTATTATAAGCTCCGATTTAATATTCAATAATAATATATCAATATGTACCATCACAGTGAACATGTTGCATATATTGTTTGCTTTAAACACTCAGAAACAGATACAGAAGTTGATTCGGTGCTAACGTATATCGTAAACTGTCAGTGAAAATGTATAATGATCGGATTAAAAGTTCATAATCATTATTATTCTATTTCTTGAATGTTAGTGTCCGTGTGTAAATGAGCGGCATTAATGTTTTAAACATTAGTAGGCTGTTGTTTCATTTTACTTGTATTTCTGTGTGGGCAGAGCTGCCACTTCCAATATGGCGGAAGCTAAGACGTGGCAAAATGCCAACCCATTCAAGGTGGTGTCTATGTTCTTGTGTCTACAGTTACCCCCCCCCCGCCCCCCTTTGCTCTCACACTTTACATGCAGAAGACTGTAAGATGCGCTAGGAAAGGAAGTGTCACAATGACGACTTCAATAACGAGGACATGAGTAAATAAAAAAATATGTCTCGCTCACATGAACCCGCATGAAACTTCCTTTCCTAAACAAATAATACACATGAGGCAATATCAATACACTGCTGCTTTTACATACTGAAGGAGTGAGAAAAAGACAGATGCTTGGCCTGGATGGTCAAAAAACAAACAAAAAAAAACAACAACAAGCGGTGACCTTTCACCCAAAGCATCCGCTCATGTACTCGCCATTTTGTCACCACTCGGATGATGACACATTATAGCCATAAGGCGGAGGACGCACAAGACTGGGGTGACGTTTAGCCCCCGCGGGCAGAAGAGAGACTGCTGCTTTCACACCCCGCACATGTGGCCATGCTGGCAGACGTGCTGCTCAGCATCTGGACCCCAGCTAAGTGCTTTTCAACCTGTTGCTGTCATTTTATTCACATTGTGCAAGGGAAAACAAAAACAAAAAAAAAAAACAATTCCACCTTTTTTAGGTGGGGGGAGGTGACTCATGGCATGTCCGCATGAACTGGGGTATTTGTTTTTGTTGTATTTCTCTATGCATTTTGACCTCAGGTCCACATGCAAATTACATTTATCAAGTCGCCTTTTTCGACCTTTGTCGGCGACCCGAATGAGAATCTGTGGAAAAGAGGATGAATAGATATTTGTTTGGAGTGTAACACACTTCACTCTTCATCGGTTCACGACAGGTTTTTTTCAACATTGCTTTCTCAAAGAGAGCGTGCCATTTTCCACACTCTAGATTGGTCAATAATTTGTATAAATAAAGTAATTCATTAAACTAAATACTACCCACATGTGGACTGACTAATAGTCTAAATTTGTGAAAATATATTACGTTTACCAAATTGTGACATAAGACGCTCTGGCCTGATGGCAGCAAATTCTCGTTTTGTATTCCAATGTAAATCTGCCGAAGACATTTATGTTACCGGTATTTAAAAAAACAAAACAAAACGGAACGCCCGTGTTCATGTGGATATTGCTTCAAGCAAATAGGAAGTTCCCTTTGGCTGCTATTGACGTGTGTCCAGGCGTTTGTGTGCTTCAATTAATTTTTTTTTTTTTTTTAAACTGCATACATCCTTACTTCCTGTCTTTTTGTTTTCACCAGTGCCGCACTCTCCTAACATGACTTATTTTTCACAAGAACCTTTTGAGCTTTTTTTTCTTTTTCTTTTATGGATTTAACTATTTATATCCAAACAAAAAACCCGAAAGCAACACACATGAGAAATGAGCACATTCTTCCCATTGACAGGAAAATCACCTGGCAACAATAAGTAGCCCTTCTCGCCACCTTTTGTCTGATTGAAATGTGAACGGGTTGACAAATGTATGTACATATTTTCCATGTAAGGTAACATTTGCCATTTATTGTTGTCATAAGCTATTCCTTTCATTTTGAATGTCTTTACTCTTCTATTTTATTGAAATGCCTTTTTTCTTTTTTAACTCACCAAATGGCCAAAGTGTAACATATAACTTGTAGATATGAAAAAACAAGGAAAGTAATGACTTTTTTTTTTCTCACAGTTGTCAATTAAGTTGACGCCTGATAGGCAATTATCTATGCATTCTTTTCATGGCAAGAGTTGTTGCAATACCTTGCAAGCCCGAGGGCGATTGAGAGGAAGACTGTATGTACTGAACAGAAATATTTTTATTTTATTTATTCTATTTTATAAAAGTATATACTGATTTTATTCATGGAGGCTGTTGAAGTCTCACTCTGAGTCATTGTTTCAGTGCTCGCAACGCTCCAACAGGCTCCGCTTTGCAGAAGAAAAAAAAAGTGCAACTATACACCAGGAGCTGGGAGTTCTCTGCAGGAGGAGGAGGAGGAAGAGGATGCATGCAGAGGGCTCCCAGTTTCTCATAAACAACAACAACACACTCCATTTCCTGCCAATGGATGTGTAGGCTCCTGTTTGCTGCTCACTGATTTGTACACGTTATCAATGTAACCAATTGTGAGAATAAACAGCATCTTAAAACGGACTCGGCTGTCTGCATCAGATCTACAACTTGGAGATATACCACACTTGGCTAGCAGTTTTACTTTTAAGACAATTTTATGTAAGAAAATGAAACTTCAGTTTTATTAATTCGTGTATTTTCTCCAGAATATATACAATACAATATATACAATTTTATTACCCCACCTTGAAACTCAAGGCCTTTATGTGGCCCATACATGAAAATAAAATGTGTTGTCATTTCTTGCTACAATTTTTTTTTTTTCTATTTTGGTTGAAAGTCTGTCCCAAAATTGTGATCCTAACTACAGTAATTGCAAACATTTTGCTCCAAATCAATTCTTTCAAAATCATTTCTTGATCAAAAAGCATCCTTTATTGAAATGAATGAAAACATCAGTGAGTTCCACACCCATGTCGGGCTCCTCCTGGTATGCTTAGCGTGGCCACCAAGGGGCAGTGTAATACAGATGCACACAAGAGTTTCACTGAATTTTAATATTTTTAAAATATTCTTACAGAGGATAAAGAATATACGCCTATGGGTGTTATGTCTGTCTACACGGGTGGCTGCACGGTTTGCGTTCAAATATCCGTTGCTTCAGAGTTTATAAAACCGGATGCAATGCTATGAATTTGTTTGGCCGTCTATGGCGTTTCGCAGTTTGCATTTTTAAAAAAAATATGTAATCTTCTCCAAACATCCTTTCAATTGATGGGATGTGGGTCAGTGCTTCTGTTTGTGTTCTGGCCAGCAGAGAACTTCTTTTTTGCATTTGAATTATTAATGAAAAGCAGACATTTAGTCAATGCCACTTTGGACTGCAAATAAGTTGCGTCTAGCCAACAACAGAAAAAAATTCAACAGTGCCCTCATCTCAAGCACATTTGCTTCTCTGCCTCGGAGAAAATCCATTATTAAGGTGACCGCCCCATCACTCTCAGTTTAAATACATGCCCAACGGTTTTATATAGAAGGCAAAGTCATTGGGAGTGACAGAATCCAACTGGCCGTGAAATCACAATTACACTGCTTGAAGCAAACGAGAGGAAGCCAAAGGCAGAGGAGCTTCCCTGACACACACACACTGAAGGAGGGGCAGCAGATCTGAATTCAAACTGTGTTTGCTGCCTTTGGCCTCGACTCCAATTGTCTTTCTTCTACTTATTGCAACTTTTCTTTTCATTTTTTTCATTTTCGCTTTGAGCTCAAGCTGCAGTGTCTCTAGCACTCGTACTGAACAAAACAAGGCAGTTGCCTTTGACAAGGGAAAGGCTAAAGATTGTCTCAGCGCTAACTAGTTCTCAGCTTTTCACATGACTGCGCGTTTACCTGAATGGCAGCAGTTTGTCGGGAGTGAATGTTTTTTTTCCAACACTCTCTTCACCAGCTGCTCATTTTGCTCACCAGACACTGAGCGCGTGCAGTTGAGCACAGTTTGAACCTGTGGGACTTCCAAAGGGGCTTCGTTCAATGGAGTTTGTACCATCTGAAACAGAATTTTAAACTTGCCGGTCACGTTAACGCCAATTGAGGAGTGTTGTGCAAATTTTGCAAGTAGATTTTTGAAAAGTGTCAGGAAGGCATATTTCTGTGCGTACATTGCATGTGCAGTTGTGCACAGACATTCATGCTTGGAGAGAGTTTTTTTTTTTTCTCTGATAAGCTGTAAAGACCAACCACCATCCACGCCACCCCCTCATCCCCCACTTTACTGCTGTGTTGTCACTACCATGTGTTGACGCATTATTTACAGTATGCGAAATTCGGTCCCGCATCTGGTTTGTTTTATGTTTTCAGTGAATGTAAACAAGGCCATTGAAAAATGTGTCACTTGAAATGTGCAGGGAAATTCTGGAAAAATATATAGGCTTTAAATCATCAGTGAGGTTTGGCATCTTAAATCCAGCCTAAATTACTCAGAGAGACCACTTGTGGTTTCCTGGGGACCACCAGGAGTCCACAGGCCAAAAGTCAAACCTTGATATTTATTAGGTGCGTGTGCGTGTTCGTGTGCGTGTGTGTGTGCGTGTGCGTGTGCGTCTCCCAGGTTAAGCCGCGGGCCAGTTGTCTTGCTTTCTGAGTTGTAAGTTTGTTCATGTTGCTTTAGGACACGAAACCACGAGACAAGTCCTGCAGCGGATTCCAGTCTGTCAAGAAAGGGTGAATGTTTTTGTTTCTTGAAATCACCTCTTAAAATCTATCCCTGCTAATGCGGATTCACCGACTTTAACCACGTGGTCCACCTCAGACATCCCCCTGAGCTTAGTGCTGTTTAACGAATACATCCACTTGAGTACATGTTTAACATCAAGCCAAAAACAAGTGTTGTTTTCTTTTCCGTGGTTCTGTAAGGCGTCCCCATTTTTTTTTCAACTTTTACCTCCCTGGTGTGCTTGGTTGCCAATTTTATGGCACCAGACAAACGACCTGTCGGCTTGTTAGCTCTGTTTTACTCCCTCCCAGTGCGTGCGCACGCACACACACACACATACACACACACACACACACTCTTTGTCTGTATATGTCTCATCACACTTGTTTTATTGTGTCATTTACAGATTCCCAGTTGCCACTGTTACCGATGCATCATTTGACAAGTATAACTGGGCTGACGATATGCGCAGATGTGAATACAAATGGCATCTTAAGTCCATCATTCGTTTCCCCCCCCCATTCCTCCATTTTCTGATACTGCACAAACAGATGGCGGAGAACGACTACGCATGGCTACCTTACGAGGCACTTTAATGGTCAGCGGGAGTGTCGTGAAAATTGTGTTTGGGCTGAGACGGGACTTTTTGTCACACAGGATTGGACTCACAATATGCTGCAACATGTTGAAGCGGCTGTCCATCATCATCTCCTCCAGTAAATCTTGGTCTGGTAGCAAAACAACAAGTGTTTATTAAAGAACAAACACCCACCGGCCTCAACGTTAGGTACAAATGCCCAATGTAATGGATGCGTAATTGAATATTGAATTTGACATACATTTGAGTAGGCTGACGGTCAGCTTGGAAGGCTTGTTGCTCAAGTTCTCTTTTCAGTGTTCTCCGGCAGAGACAGGGTGTCAATCTTCTTCTCATAATGCAGAAACTGATGCTTTAGCGGTTTCTCTGAATGCAGATGTTGGAAGATGGCCGCTGCCTACGGGAAAGCTCGAGCAGATGGAGGCGGAATGTCGAAGATGTGGACAGCTAGAGAAAATAAAGAGAAAGATGAAGTGGTAGAATAACGGTGCAGGTATGTGATGATGGTACATATAAAAGCATTATTTTCTTCACTGAGCCCATACAGTACCATGGACTACCATTCACACACATTCTTGCTGTCACTGAGCAGGTTCCAAACTCCACCTGCATGGACATCAGGCAGATGTACCACTAAACCATGGGTGATGTAAAAAAAAAAATCAAAATAATTCAATTAACATCCTGAGAGCAGCCAAGTGGATATCAAAAATAAAGGGTTACATCCTGAGAGCAGCCATGTGGATAACAAAAATATGAAAGGTGACTGCGATATGTTACTCCACTTTTACTGACCTGGCCTTATTGAGCCACCTGAGCAATTACGACTATTGTTTGTTAAGTAGTCGAAACCTGAGGACTCCGGTTATCATGGTTCAAAAAAATCCACCTTTAGTTGTTTGTGAGCGTGAGTCTTAGCCCTGCAGGCTACTGTGCTCTTACTGTTGCAATTAAACACCACTGAGCAATTACGACTATTGTTTGTTAAGTAGCCGAAACCCGAGGACTCCGGCTATCATGGTTCAAAAAATCCACCTTTAGTTGTTTGTGAGCGTTAGCTTCAGCCCTACAGGCTACTGTGCTCTTACTGTTGCAATTAAACACCCTCTTGGACTGCAGTGGCATCAATAAATGATGGTCAGTGGTCCACCTCTTTGTGACCTGCTTCACTCATGACACACATACACACTGAATTGATGACATAGGACTTGACAATGAGGATTCAATTCTAAAAAAACAGTCACTTCTGATTAAAGTGGGTATCCGCGGGTCTAATCATCTATTACAGAATGATGGGAATAGACCCATAACGCTTCCAAAAGCATATGTAAAAAGGATGAATATCAAACATTTTTTTGGGGGGAGACAGGGGTTGGGTGAGTATTTCCAATGCTGCTGGAGAAGCTTTCGTTCTGGAAGAAAAGGCTACAGGAGATTAGTGTAATCTGCATAAGTGATGATGGGCTATTTAGAATTCTACAGTAGGCTTTTTACTTTTGTCACCCACAGTCCTCCTCTGCAGATCAGCATATTTCCTCCATATGGATGTTCTCTGTAGAAGTACAGACCTTTGACAGTTGTCACAAACTAGTTGTTCCTTCGCAGCAAGCACTGTGCTGTTTCGTTCCCTTCCTTTCCTCTGCTCTGCACGACTGTCTCTATTTTGATTATCCTAATTTATAATTTTGTAGAAGTAGCAAATACCAAACCATGTCACCCAGTGCAGTTCAAAAGTAGTGTGCACCTAAATTTATTTTAAAAATATATATTTTGATAAATCCCTCATTGTTGGTGTTGGATTAAAACAACAACAAAAAAGAAAATTATCTTTGTAAAAGTCGAATTTTATAGACTCCTGTGTTGAAACGTTCTGCATTCACACTTGACAACCATTCGATGACAAATAGGATAGATGCTGCCACCTACTGTCCATGTCTCCACAGCACACGTCAAATATTTTTCAAAGTGGAAGCAAAATGGAAAAAAAAAGCTTACAAAAACGGTCGGATCTAAACACACTTTGCTCCCAAATTTATTAACACTGCATTAAGTCTTGTCCTGTACGTTTAGTTGAACACGAATCTATTACTGTATTCTATTGTAATAATGGCAACAGATGGATACCCAAGTTAATTGTACTGTCTGCCTTCAAGTGTAAAAAGCAACGTACCCTGCCTATCATTATATGTCATTGGCACAGATTAAAGAAAGTTTTTTTTTTAAAAAGTTATAATATTTGTAGTGGAGAAATGATCTTTCACAACATTGACTTTTTCATTTAATTCATTGCAGCAGAAAATGCCTGGCAGGCAATGCCTCCCTGAGGGGAAATTCATTTTACCATTGCATACAATACAAAGGTCAGGCAACATTAGGCAACAACATCATCATGGTGACCCAGTGGTTCTTAGTTTTTCCTTCCAGTGTGGACTTTTACATATAAAAAGTCGACACACCCTTGTTCAAATGCTTTATTTTTGTGACATAATGTGGCCTACTGTATAATCTTTACGACTCGATTTTGATATATATATATATATATATATATATATATATATATATATTTTTTTTTTTTTTTTAGTGAATAAAAATAAAGAGCTGAGATAACGTGGTTGCACAAGTGTGCACTCCCTCTCTAAAAATAAGATTGTCTTTTAGAATTGTGGCCAAAAAGTTCAACCTTGGTTTCAAAATTGTGCAAAAACGCACTTGGAATTTCCCAAATGCACATGGAAAAAAATGTGTTAGGGTTCGATGAAACACTTAACATGAGTTCAAGTGTGATTGGTTAATTCTATAAACAGCCACATCCCCCCCACTAAGAGTGTATGCAGGTCTGTGCAACCATATTATCTAAATTGCTTATTTTTACTTCTCCTTTTGAAAAGATTTCTTTTTTTTTAATGTCACAAAAGCCTGGCAATTGAACCGCTGCGTGTAGACTCTTTCTATCCATTATACAGCACCAGTGTCTGGTTTTGAATCTCAGCTCCGGCATTGCTATGTGAAAATCACCTTTTCTGTCTGTGCATATGGGAGTTACTGGGCATTCAATCTTCCTGCCACAATCCCCAAAATATGTATGCTCGGTTTATTGAAGTTTCCATAGGTGTGAACGTGTTTTCTCTGTTTTCTGATACTACTAATCGAATCAAGACTATCTGCTCCATAGCGACTTACTACAAATAGACTCCAGTCAATTTGTCGCCAGGCATTATGAGTAGTCTATGTACCATTATGGTGTTACTCTTCCATAACACCAGCAGGGGGCAACATTTTTCATGAGCGCTGCCTTCCACATGGGGGACCGAGAAAATATTGGAATAGACTACGTAAGAAGTGAGCTTTTAAGATGGCATTTGACTCCGTTTTTGTTATTCGCCGCGGTTTGATTTAAAATATAGTAAAGTTACTCCATTGAACATGACATGTTTAATCAGAAAGTAGGGGGGAAAAACATGGCATGGTTTTCATCCAAATGAGCCACGGGTGGGAGTCCAGCTGGCAAGATTATCCCGTCCAACACGCGTCATCAATGTCGCCTCACAACAGGACTCTTGCTTGCTTTGTACAGTATGTGTTGTGTTTGTGTGTGGCCAAGGGTCGCATTTGTGTGCATAAACCATATTCAATAATCGGCCCAGCTGGAGATGGCGGGTCGCGCAGGCTTAAGCCGACCTGGAATTTTCTCAATCAAGGTTTAAGCTTTACAGCAACCTGTACAATGCTGCATTAAAACCTTCTTGTTTTACTCGGTGTACTTATACATGCTTCAACAGTCTCCGGTGACACAGTGCAGTATTTTATTTATCTGTTACGAGTCAGTTAATTGCCCTTGATTTGTCTTGGAGTCCTACATGCAAAACAAGGTCTTGACAAGATGTTGAACCCGATTTCTATAATACAGTGACTCCCAAACACTGCCACTGCGCCACGGGAAAACCTCAAGTGTGTGTGTGCGTGTGTGTGTGCGTGTGTGTGTGCGTGTGTGTGTGTGTGTGTGTGTGTGTGTGTGTGTGTGTGTGTGTGTGTGCGTGTGCTTATGCACGTGTGTGTTGGCGATGATAATCCGTTTGGATTTGATCTGTCTCACTCATCAAAAGCCAATTACAATGTATGAGGCATCATACCAACACACACACACACGCATGCACACGCACGCACACGCACGCACACGCTCAGTGTGCCCTTCAACTGACTTTACATGGTGCCACACACCTAGTTACAGTTGCTTGAGTGGAAAAGTACCAGCTAGGTAAGAACTTTAGCCTTATTCATGCATCGCAGCTCATTTGTTGATTCTTCCTTGCATATTCATATCGTATTACAAGAAATGGTGCATGAGGTAGCAGAACAATTTTCAAACAAAGCCACACACATTGGTAAGAGTCACCACAATGACCTACACTGTGCACTTTTGCTCTTATTCTATCCCATCTGACGGCTTGGTTGACTACTTGTTGCAGGTTGATGTGTCCACCGGCGCGACACAACCATGGAAGTCAGAGTATCAGCAAACCATGCAAGCATAGCAAAAATACGTTGACTGCACACAGGAAAGCTGAAGCTGAAATTTGAACTGTGAGGTAGTCCTACAAGTCACGACCTCACTGTGCTAACGCTACACTACTAATCTGATTCAATTGAGGCTGGCTGGAGAGAGAGCCAACACAAAATGCTACAACCCAGGATGAAAAAAAAAACTCCCTTACAAATTCCAGTCAAAAGCAAGCAACAAAACATGGCACCTGAGTGATCACATTGTTTATTGTCAGTGGTATATTACAAAATCTAGTTAATATTCTGACACGTGAAAGGGCTTTTACCGTTGTATTCCTTTTTTTTTTTGTACATGTCCCAAATAATCTAACTGCAGACAGAGATGACAAAGTGACATATTTTCCATCAGACCCTCCATGCAAAGCTGCTTGTGAAAATAACAACAAAAAAAAAAAACGCTTTCTTAAGCACTGTATTTTGAAAGTCACATTCACGTCAAACTAACACAACATGCTTTTGCGCTAAGTGGTGAATACGTACTTAGTAACTAGTGTGTGCATGTGTGTGCGCGTGTGTGTGTGCGTGTGCGTGTGTGTGTGTGTGTGTGTGTGTGTGTGTTAGTGTGTGTGTGTGTTAGTGTGTGTGTGTGTGTGTAACTTACAATAGCTGCTGATGCACTGTAATGGCACTATACTCAGGTTAATTGCACCAATTGTAGTTCGGCACGTTTGTTACTCTGTCGGCAAATAGAAAACCAATCAAATCATCATGATTCCTCTCAATGACCCCGGCACACCCATGAAGCAAAACTGTCTTTATCTCCTTTGCTGTTACTACTGCGTTGCGGGGTATTCTATTACTCAAGAGAGCATGTTCTTTTAACAAAATGATCAACTCTCCAGCTCTATTTGCCTCATCTTACCGATGTTCAAAAGACAAGGCATATGAAGACCTCAGCGAATTCTGAGAAAATCGATTGATTTGTAACTGGGCCAAAAGTGTTTATAGAGACGTTATGTCCTGCATGCCATAAATTGTGTCAATTTATGGTTTAATAAGCCCTATTGGTTTGAAGGGCCTGACATAGCAGCTCACCTTTGACCTCAGCTAAACGTTTTAAATTGTTGTTTTTGAACGTATAGCTATGCGTCGGCACAAAATCGTTTTTTGTCAAAATATGACTTAGGCTGTTATTTTTAAGAAAATGACGACATGTGACACTTTACAGTTAAAGCAAAAGTTAAGTTACTGTAATGAGGGTTTTGGTAACAAGAAAACTTACAATAGCTCTCGTATATATTGCAAACAAGAATTTGACGTTTTGGAACAAATTTTAGCAAGCATCATAGAAGACAGCATGGTTGAGTTGGACATCAAATGATGTGCCGGGCCAGATCTGGCCCCCGGGCCTTGAGTTTGACACCTGTGCTCTGAATTATCCTCTAGTGTCAATGCGGGTGTGAATGGTTTGTCTATATGTGCCCTGTGATTGGCAGGCGACCAGTCCTGGGTGTGCCCAGCCTCTCCCCCAAGGTCAGCTGGGATAGGCCCGAGCACACCTGTAACCCGAATAAGGAGAAAGGTGCAACAGAAAATTGTCGGATGTTTCAAATACTGTTTACACATTCTGTCAACTTCAGTATGGAAGCCCAATAATCTATGAAAAAAAAGTATTAATTCAGACTATAGCATTACATATTAAGGGGCAAGGGGGGGGTTTGATTTAGGACAACAATCCCTGTAGGTAGTCAATTTGAGGACATTTAAATGGAGATGAAGGCACCATGTGATGTGATCGAAAGCACAGTAAAATCAAAACAAGGTGAAACGATGAATGTGTGAGATAAACTCTTATTCGTGAAATGATTTCATTGTCTTGATGACAACTTGGGAGGAACCGTGTTGCTTCATGGCCATGGTGTAAATTTAGTGTCCTTGCTCATACGCTTGTGCCTGTGGACTTTTTGTAAAACCTGATAGATGTTTTAAGTCAATAAGTATCTGTTAAGTAAGCATTTGTGCGTTGAGCAACTCGTCCAACGGCCTCAAGCCTCCTCCCAGCACAGAGTTCAGCCGCCGCTGTTGAAAAGTTACTTCTCTGTGTGAGCACATCTGACTCAATCTCAGTTTCCTATTCACACAAGTTCCCTACTGTGTGCGCGAGCAACGTGTGCGTGTGCGTGTGCATTTGTGTGTGTGCGCGCGCACACTAACCTATGCATGTGTATGTGTGTTGCTGCTCCAAACAGAAATCCAGCTTCCTCCTCTCTTCTATCCTCAGCATTGTCGGTTGCCTTAGCGCTCGGAGAGGCTCTGGCCGTCCTCATCTCCATGACGACAAGGTGTTTGCGAAGAGCTTGAGGGAAGGAAGACGGAAGAGCATTCGTCCCGCCCCACTTTAATTCCTGCGAGATCTTCAGGTAAGTAAGCACACGCACGTACAGTTGAATGAAATGGGGAATGCTGTTGTGCGGTGTGTTTAAACTTCTCTGCATGATCAAACACGCGCTGTGACGACATTGAATGGTGGGTGCGGAAGTGATGAAGTCACGACATTTCAACGAGAGGCACGTACGAATAAACCAAAAAAAAAAAAAACCTCACCAGTTGAGCCGGTAGTACTTAACAAACGAACAGGGTTGCCGCCTGTAATTTGGGCATTGGTTGACCATCAGGGCCAACAAGGCCTTCTCTGCTGGCCTAACCATTATCAGGGGGAACGACCTACTTTTACAAAGTCAATTCAAACATTTCTTCCCTGAAACTATTAATTTACTTCAAAGTCGTTATTTTGTAGCGTTTCTCTTGCCAGCAGTGCATCCAGTACGTGAATGTGTATGTTGTATTTTTTTGTTCAATCTGACCTCAGCCTCTTATGCGCTACCATGTCAAGCTAATCAACCTGAAGCCCAAATTTTCCACTCGTCGACGGTCCAGTGGTTAGCGAGTTGACCTCACCGTGCAGAGGTCGTGGGTTCGATCCTGTCTCCGGCCTCCCTGTGTTGAGTTTTCACGTTCTCCCCGTGCTCGTGTGGGTTTTCTCCGGGTACTCCAGTTTCCTCCCACTTAAACACTCTAAATTGTATCTCGGTGTGAGTGTGAGCGCGGATGGTTGTTCGTCTATGTGTGCCCTGCGATTGGCTGGCAACCGGTTCAGGGTGTCCCCCGCCTACTGCCTGAAGATGGCTGGGCTGGGATAGGCTACAGCACCCCCGTGACCCTCGTGAGGATAAAGTGGATCGGAAAATGAATGGGTGAAAAAAGTTATTATATGTTATCAATGGCTGCAATTAACTCGGTTAAGTCCCTAATGAAAGACCGGTTACAAAATACAAATATACGGGCCGTCACTTGATTTGGGACCCTGGGAAAAAAAAAATCGTAACCCTGTCATGCACCCTGTAACCCGATAACATGATAAGCGGTCCACTGTAGTAACCGCTGTCCCTGAAAGGGTTAATATATTTAAAATATTTTTTTGTAAACCCCCGTCAGTACCATGAGAATTGTCAGGCCTACAGGAAATGAAAACAGGTGAAAAATATGGCCGCTCTGCTTTCACTCATCTGGGAAGACTTTCTATCAATGATTGGATCAGACACCTGTTGTGAATTTTACCGTTTAGCTCCTTGTTAGAGAACATCAAGTTGTGAAGTGATGGTCACCTATCAAGGCTATCCATCATTTTTAGATTGATGCTGAAATTTCACTTGAAATCCAGATATGCCTTATTTTTTGGTGGTGGTGTATGTGCCTTGTGATGGACTGGCGTCCTGGCTTAGGTGCAGTGCACCTTTTGCCCGATGTTAGAGCTGGGATAGTCTCTAAGTAGAGCTAATTGATGGCATTAAGAAATTAATTTCACCAACAGTTAATCATGATTGATGAGTAAATTCATTAAAGAATAATCATCATCTCAAGACTTTTCGGGGGCCATTTCAGCTCTACTTGCTTTAAAATCTACAAAAACTCCAAAGAGGAATGAGAAAACTGCCCATGAGAGAGTTTTCCCAACCCCCCACCCCAACCCCCAACCTCACCCCCAACTGGCAGCCATCTTCTCCCTGGGATCACAACAGGGGACATAGAAATATGAGTATATGTGAGTTGTTATTCCTAAAAGTTGTCATTACGCCGGTATCTACGTCATGGGAGGGAACCGCATAGCATGAAAGCAGCGTGTGGTGTCCTCGGCGGTTGTAAACATTAGTCAGTGCGTAAAGCTCACCTGGAGCCAATAGCATTACGGACATTGCGGTGGATGTGATACTTAGGGAAGGCTTGTACTAAGGTGTGCTGCCCTTAGGTGGAATGTTGCTCTGGCGTCTATGATTCAGGTTTTTGCCGTTAAGCACGCACGCACACACACACACACACACACACATACACACACACACACACACACACACACACACGCAGCTCCTGTCAAACACACACACACACACACACACACACACACAAGCGCGCGCGCAGACTAGGACAAAGATTGGCTAGAGCCACACACACATGCGCGCGCACACACACACACACACTCACACACTCACACAAGGATAGCATTTCCTATCCGGAGCGATAGCAAAGAAGGGAGGGAGGGAGGGAGTAGTGTTGGGGGTTTGGGCAGTCCCATTCTGGTTTGGTGAGTTTTGTGAAGGAGCCAGTGTGTACACCGTACACAGGTGCAAAGAGAAAGAAAGAGAAAGAAGGATCGAGAACAGAAGCAGAAAAACCAATGGACGGAGAAGAGTGCCAGCGGTGACGTGTGTCCAGCTGACATCCACCTGAAAACTGGAGTGACACGTCAGCGATGGTGTGCTGTAAGGAAGGTTTTCTCCTCTCTGCGAGTGCTGGTGCTGGTCATGGTGTGTGTGTGTGTGTGTGTGTGTGTGTGTGTGTGTGTGTGTGTGTGTGTGTGTGTGTGTGTGTGTGTGTGTGTGTGTGTGTGTGGAGGGGGTCCTCTGATGGGTTCCTGTGGTTCATTAAGTGTGCTGGAACTTTTCCCCTCTTTTTTCCTCATCCACCTCCCCTCTTCGGTTCCGAGGAATGTGGGGCTTATGTCAGTGAGAGTCAGGTACAGACTCACTAATTACCGCTGCCCTTACTCCCTCCATCCCTCCCACCTTCACCTTCTGTACTCCCTCTCTCCTCCATTTGAAGACCTTGTGGGTTTTAATACCCTCCTCTCTTAAAAAAAAAAAAGTTCTGTTCTTGTCTCCGGCTGTTGCGTCTACAAGAAGTGCTGTCGTGACTGGAGCAGAGGCAAACAGAGGATCTGAGTCAGAATCCAAAAAAACCACCAAATGAGGAACAGAAATTCTGGCTTGTCCTCTTTTTCGGTGCACTTGTGATTGTGATACTTACGTTAACCGTGTCAGAACATTTCTGATTGTGCTCCTGGTGGTGGTGGTGGGGGCCTCTCATTGAAGACAGGAGGTACCTTGGCAGCCAACGACAGACCACACAGAACCTGACGGACAACACCAAGGCAAAGAGGAAGTGAAGATGAGAACGTGAACCCCGTTAGTCCAAAAACGTCGGCAGAAGAACCAAATCGCCCAAGAGGACACATTCAGTCATCCTCCAGGTTAGTGTCATGCCGTGATGGGCCGTTGAGCTTATTTAGAAACGCGTCTGTTTCCTCACTGGGTTGATAGAGATACACACAGTGGGTATCTGGAAGGACATTTCTTCAGCTGGTTCAGTGTTCACACTGACCCAGCTGACAGCTCTAACCTTCACTGCAAGGTTACGGGACAGCGTCTGTGTTTATTTGTGCAGAAATGTGTGTGTGTGTGTGTGTGTGTGTGTGTGTGTGTGTGTGTGTGTGTGTGTGTGTGTGTGTGTGTGTGTGTGTGCGCGCGCGCGTGCGTGTGCGTGTGCATGTGTGCATATGTGCGTGAGATGCGATGTTGTCTTGTCTCGTCATCTCGTGGATATGTTTTCCCAAAACTGGTTAAGCAGGGTGCCGCTTTAGCCTTGGCCATCTTGTTGATGTACAAACGAGATTGGCTCGTTGTATATGTGATGCTGCACTTTTGAGGGTCACAGGGACATTGGATGTGAAAGGTAAAAGCATATATTTGACTTTGGTATCAAACAACTGTATCAAGAAGTTCATGTATGATAATGGGAGTTGCTCCATTCTATCCTATCAGGTTATCAGCTTGATTCACCCCATAGGTCAGACACACAAGGAATTTGGAGCTGATTGTTGGTGTCACTCAAGTACAATAGCAATGTACATGGCAGTTAAAATGATGCCTCTTCTGGCCAAATTGTGATCGAGTGATTTTTCTCTTTTTTATACGTTGTGTTAAGCTGGAAATGAAAGTGTTAAAGACTGTAAGAAGTTGTTTAAAGAGTTAATGAAAACCTTTTCACAGTGTTTTACACTGTGAAAATCATTTTCAATTTGAGGGAACAAGCAACTAATCAACTATCAGTTTAGAACATTAGGTACACCCATATTAAACACTCACTCAGCAGCACATGGACACTGAATTTGAGGTTCAAATATTAAATGGAATCCTGAAAACATTTTTTTTTCCTTTCATTTCTTTGAACGCACTGTATTATAGTCTCACTACTTCCTTGTATCATTTTCATCTGAAAAGTGCAATGAAACGTGGCTTACACTCCCCTTTAAGTATCTGTGTGTTGTCCTCCATCCCAGCCAGTTTCCTTGTGAATACTGTAAATAGTTCTGTGTGTGTGTGTGTGTGTGTGTGTGTGTGTGTGCGTGTGCGTGTGCGTCTGTATGTGTGTGCGTGTGTGTGTGTACGAGCTGCGAGTTGCGTCGGTTGTGTCGAAGTACTGGTCAGAACTGATGACAGATTATGTCATATGGAAACACAAAAAGACTTAGGATCTCATCTCACAGAATCACTACTCCATTGCAAAAGGGACATGGTCGTTCAAGAAAGGAATTCATATCTCTTTTTTTTTTTTTTTTTTTTCCTTAAGCGCGGTATCAGCAATTGCCTCGTAGCCATATCAAGTTTCAGGGAGAAATAAAGGGCAGTTGGTATTAAAAGGAACTAGAATGTGAAAGAGTTGTGTGCGTGTATATATATTTTAAAGAGTTATTATCATTCAAGCAGCTATATGTCACATGACTGTCACATGACCATCTCATGTGCATGATGGGAAAAGGAACACTAAGTCTGGTGTGTGTGTTTGTGTGTGTGTGTGTGTGCATGCGTGCGTGCGCGCGCGCGTGCGTGCTTGTACCATAAACCTAATCCGCTAAAATTGCTGCAGAAGTTGCCCAGTAAAAGAAGAGAATGACTGCAAGGAAGGAACCTGTTGGTCCTATTGTGTTGTTTATGAAATAACTGTAAGAAGATCTGATCTCTCCTCTCCGCCGCTAACTCTGTTTGTGACCAACACACACATACCTGAAAAGCACAATGGCGGTATTCTTTCCCCTCCATTGCCCTCCCTCAGGAGTTCCTTTAATGTTCAACCGAGTATTAGACACCGGTGTGATGTAGTCCAAGAAATAATGTTGAATAGATCGGTCATTTTCCCCATGGACACAAATATAAATGTCAGGAAGCCGGTCCAAATCAATCTGTTTTAAACATAAATTGACGGGGCATCAGATGTGGTTTATGTCACTTTTTAATATTTTTCATTTTCATAAAAGTAGATAAAGAAATAAACCCTTGCATGAACTAGAGCTGGGACTTGCACAAAAATTTCCGATTCTCTATTTGTGTTGACAATGAGCGATTTCCAAATGGAATCAAATGGTTACTCAGTGTACTTTTCCGAAATAAAGATGTCACATTTCAACAATTGGAAAATCCAATTTGATCAAAATGGGAACTGGTGAATTTACACCATATACAGTGCCCAAAGTGTTTTACAAAGCCTCACATTCACTTATTTGGCGCATTATCACTCGCAATGGGAGTGATAATGCGCATGGCCCATGGTGCATTATCACTCCCGCTTTTAAATCCTCATTGCTTTGGACCAGCTGTATGGTTTCTAGCTAGCTAGCTTGATAGCTTGATAGCTAGCTATCAAGGGAGATGTCTCTCTGAGGCTGATGTTTGCTAACTATCTTTCGCTTGTTGTCGTGCGTGACGGAGTGAGTGAGAGGCCAGCGGCAAACTACCGACGGAGGCTTTGGTACACTGCATAGCAAAACAAAAAATACAAAACAAAAAAAAAACAGTTTTATAAAATATTTGGGACTCACTGAGCAGGAGACATGCACCACACAATTCACTCTTTAGTTTATCTGTCATGCATGCTTTGGGAATGTGGGAGGGAGCTGGTATACATAGCACATAGAATCACAGGGTGAACATAAAAAGTCCACATTGGACTTTTACTTTTGTCTGATTTCCTCATAAATTCTGCTTGCAACGTGTAATTGCACAAGCTCCGGCCTCGTTGGGGCAGTATGCGCGTGTGTAAACAGGTGACATCCACCCATTGTGAAGGCTGCAACAACAGTCCCTTCTCCCCACGTGCCCCCCGTCTTGCATCGTCCCACCTTTGACCCCGGTGAAACCCGGGCCACCTATTGTGTGGTGATACAGCTGAACCCTCTTCTCCTCTCTGCTCCGAATGCCACTTCTGCTATCATGCCTCATTTCAATTTGTGTTTCTTCCTTCGTCCTTCTTTTGCCTCTTTTGGATGAGAAGGGATTTTTTTTTTTTTTAAGTACTAGTTTTACATCAAGAGAAGACATATTAGCTTGCTCGTTCCCGCACACATGCACGCTTGATGCAGCTGATTGCGCGATCTCTTTGCTGCATACCGGTTCTTACACACAATGGGGTCGTTGTCTGAATTGCAGTTGTGGGAATGTGTGATGGTTAAGATATTACCCGTACATACCACTCCGTTCATACTTAGTACAAACGCTTCATTAAAAAGCTCTCCTCATCTATTACGCTGCTAAATGTGTCTTTGTCAGCACGGTGTGACTTGTGAGCAAATGTTTGCCCATCCGACGCGCGGAACACATATCAATGACCCATTTAGTAAACCCGTTTCTTACTAAAATCCCTTATGGGTCTCCTTATTGTGATATTTATCTGTTTTGTATTTCTATTGATTTGTTTTCCCAAGAGCATTTATAGAGGACTAGCGAGACCAGAGGGAAACAGCGAAGTATACTTTTCCGTATTGGGTTTCACAAAAGACTCAAAACGCTACGTCGGGTTACCGTTCATGATTGTTATCCTCAGTCATCTCGGCTGCTAGGCGACCGAGGTGTGCTTTGTGACGCAAAAGTTGGTGCTGGAAGAAGTTGTCTGTTGACTTGATGGTCTTGTTTAACAGCTGGGTTTGGTCTGAGAAAACACACGTTATTTTATGCTGTAAAACAAGAGCCTTCTCCCTTCAAGCAACAATCGGTAATAATTAAAGTATGCTTTAAAATAATTTCGGTCGTGGCTTGTAAATGAATATTGTCTCTTTAGTTGCAACAACCTTGGACCAGTCGGGAAACCTCTCATGTGTTAGTATCAGCATTATTGACAAAGCTGCTGTGTAGACTTGTGTGTGTGATGTTTCGACATACGGTTGCACAATAAAATAATTTTAAAATGGCAGCAAAAAAACCAAAACCAAAAAAAAAAAAAAACCCAACCTCCTGTATCCCTACCGCTGCTCAAACAAAGACACTTTGGAAAATCAAACAAATATAAAACACCACCCACACTTGCTCATGAGCAGTTTCAGTCCATCGTTCATAAGATGAAGAACAGTTGGAACTGTTTTTCAACTTTCTGTTTCTTGTCATAAAATCCCTGTTTCGTGACACCGCTCAGGAGCTTAGTCATTGTGTGTTTTGGAATCTGAATTTGGAGGGTGTTAATACTGCAATCCAACCGGCTTATTTTTATCCTTCCCTCTTTGCCAGTGTGTGCTTGTGGGTGCGACTGTGTGTGAAAAGAACAAATTGTCTCGCAAATAGCTAAAACACAAAAAGTTGAAGATTGGTCAAGGTAACCTTTTCAGGGGATTCATCAAAGTGGCATTCTACTCATTGGGAACACTTCATGAATTGAACTATTGAATCAATTGGATGGAAATTTATTAAAATAGATTAACCTTGACAGGCACCCTGTAACCTGAAAACATGATAAGATGTCCACTGCAGGAACCGCTGTTCCTGAAAGGGTTAAGCAAAAAAAAAAAAAAAACAACGGGAGCAAAATCATAAAGTCATTAAACTACCTGATTTTGGTTACAGTGAATCACAAGAAATGTAATAATATATCATGAAACCAAAATGTATTTTTAATAGTACTTGAAGGAATACAGCATACAGTACATGTACTTCAATATACTGTACAACTCTTACTTATGGGGACGGGGGTTGGGGGTATAGTAATAACAGTGAAAAGCAGCAGCTAATACGTGTGGTGACCACCTCTTGTTACATTCCAGACCCACCCGGGATAGGTGAAAATCTGTGATATGTCGAGACCACATGAAAAGCTTTAAAAAGTGCAAGCCTTAAAATTCCCCTCCCGCATGCTGTAATCACTTTGAGACTTAAATAACACAATAAAGTGGAGGATTACTGTATACGTGATAATATGACGAGGTGATTA